CCCTGAGGGACATTTACTTTCAATACGTCACTAATACAAGAGTGTAAACAAAGTCTTCATCAATACCACAAACACATCAATGAGTAAACACTTCTTCCATTATCAAAAAAAAACAGGGGCAAGCTCTCTATTAAAATTTCAGTCTACGTGCTAAAGGTTTATCATTTGATCACTTATGGTTACTGCTTTAATGTTAAATATTGAACTGAAATTATTTTATCCACCGCACATCTGCGATGCGGTTGGCATATACCGATTCACCTGTGTGTTGGTGTTTTTTGTGTTGTTGTTAACTATAAAGATTATAAGTGAAACTTAAAAATCTTCTGTGTAAAAACCACATGTCCAATTTTTCAACCCAAACGGCAGGATTGATCCTTGGTGATGGGCTTCCAAAGTTGTTCAAAGAATTTTCTTTTTCCATGCAGAAATTTGGGTTGCCATGGCAACCAAAAAAAGGAATTATTAAGAAAAAATAAAAAAATCTTCTTGTAAAACCCAAAAGGCCTAGAGCTTAGATATTTTGCATAAGGCATTGTCGGTAGACCTCACCAAGATTGTTTCAAATTAAAGCCCGGGTCGCATAAAAGGGCCGCCCCCCCGGGGGTCAATCTTGATTTTCCCACTATATGTAAATAGTAAAAACTTAAAATACCTTCTTGTAAAACCCAAAAGGCATAGAGCTTAAATTTTTTGCTAAGGCATTGTCTGGTAGACCCCTTCCAAATGATTGTTCAATATTATAGCCCGCGGGGAAAAAAAAAAATAATATATATTAAAATATTATATATGCGGGTGCATATACGATTCCCACCTGTGTGTGTGTGTGTTTGTTTGTTGGTGGTGGTGTTGTTATATAGATTGTAATAGGAACAAAAAAAAAACTTTCTTGTGAAAAACCACAGTCCAAGTTTTCAACCAAAATTTGGCAGGATTGTCCTTGGTGAGGGCTTCCAAAGTTGTTCAAAGAATTTCATTCCAGCAGAAATCTGGTTGCCATGGCAACACAAAAGGAATCTTAAGAATAAATTAAAAAAAATCTTCTTGTAAAGACCCAAAAGGCCAGAGCTTAGATTATTTGCATAAGGCATGTCTGGTATGAACCTCTACCAAGATTGTCAAATTATAAGCCCTGGGGTCAAAATCGGCCCGCCCCGGGGGGTCATTGATTTTCACTATAGTACTATAGGTAATAAAACTTAAAAAAATACCTTCTTGTAAAGACCAAAAGGATAGACTTAGATATTTTGCATAAGGCATTGTCTGGTAGACCCTTACCAAGATTGTTCAAAAAATTATAGCCCTGGATCAAAATCGGCCTGCCCCGGGTCCATTGATTTTCACTATAGTTACATAATAAAAACTTAAAAAAATGCTCTTCTTTAAAGAAAAAAAAAAAACCCAAAAGGCTAAGCTAGATATTTGCAATAAGGCATTCTCTGGAGACCTCAAACCCAGATTGCTCAAGTTACTAGCCCTGGGGTCAAAATCTGCCCCGCCCAAGGGGCATTGGTTTTCCCTTTATATATATGGGTAAAAACTTAAAAAAAAATTTTTACTTCTAGACAAATGCTTAAAGGGTTTTAGATGTTTTGCATAAACTTGAGAATTTAATTTCTAGCAAGATTGTTAAATTATATGCCCTCGGTCAAAAATTGACCGTGCGCCCCCCGGGGGTCATTGATTTGCAAATATATATATAATAGTAAAAAAATAAAAAATCCTTATTATCTGAATGGTACAAGGTTTTAGAGCTTAATTATTTTTTTGAATGATATCATCTATAGGACTTCTACCATAAAGTTTTCAAATTTTAAATTCTATGTCAAAATTAGCCCGCCCCGGGGGCAAGGGTTTCCTTATAATGTATATATGTAAAAACGTGTAAAAAATCATCTTCTCTTATTTTACAAATGCTAGATTAAGATATTTGGCATGAAAAATTTGTAGTGAACCTCTACAAATTAAAAAATTTAGCCCTGGGGCAAAATTGGCCCATCCTAGGGGTCATTTGATTTTTCACTATGTACATATAGTAAAAATTCTAAAAATCTTCTTGTCAGAAGTAACAAAGGCTTAGAGCTTTGAATTTGGTATATAATATATCTAGGGTCCTCTACAAAAGTTTTTTTAATTTATAACCCTAGTGTAAAAAATTGCCCTGCTCCGAGGGAAGTTTCCTTATATATATATTAAAAAGAAAAACTTGAAACTTCTTTCTCCTGAATGAAAAATCTTCTTCTTTAATTTTGACATAGGCTAAAAGGTTAAAATGTGGCATGAGTCTTTGCAAGTGAACCTTTTACCAAGATTGCAAATTATACCCCCCGGGGGAAAAAGGGGTTCTGCCCCGGGAAATCTTTTGATTTTCATTATTACATAATTTATAGAAAAAAATAAAAAAATTTTTTTTGTCTGAAGGTCAAGACATAGAGCTTTGATGTTTGCTAATAATTCATCTATAGGTCCTCTACCAAAGGTGTTCAAATTTTTTTCCCTGGTGTCAAATTGGCTCTGCCCCCGGGGAGTGATTTCATTATGTACACAAAAGTAAAAAAAGAAAATAAAAAAAAAATTTTTCTGAATGGGGGAAAGCTACAGTTTAGATATTTGACTTTGAAATGTTGTTTGGTGGACCTGTACAAGATTTGTTGGATGAAGATAACCCTTGGGTGCCAAATTTTGCCGCCCAAGGGAACAGGACCTACCCCTTTCCTTGTCCTTTGATGTACAAGCAATAAATTTTGACCAAGGTTGCACAGTTTTAGTTGTGTAAAATTGAACTTTTGAATCAAGGTGGACCTAATTTGATGTGGACCTACTTTCCGTCCTTTGATTTTCAGACTATGAAATTTGAACCATGTGCACAGATTTTAAGATGTATAAAGTAACTTTGATTTCAAGCGACGCTAAGATTTTGACAAAAGTGTCTTACTGTGTTGTCCTTTGATGTAGTCATGAAATTTTAGGCTGTGTGAAATATGACCTTCAAACCCCCCCAAATTCACTAGAACTCGTGTGCATTGATATATTCCTACTCGATCTTTTTATTGAGTTAGAAACAGATTTTTTAACCACTAAGTGATAATAAGAAATTAAGATTTTTATAAGGTCAGGATCTATGCATTATGACAATCTTCAAAATTGATAGAAACAAAAAAAATCTGTTCCTACCACTTACTATTTAGTATTGTATTAAGCGTGGCATAGCATTTTTTCACAAAATGCAATCTTGTTTTTCTTGTGTGCAACTGACCCAGCTAGATTACTTAATTATTATCATACATGTAAGTTGTTAAGTTGTACCATCTGTTGTAATACTTGTTGGGCGGACTGAAACAAGGTCAGATAAGACAGAAAATTGTTGAATTCAGAGGGTGTTGGTCAGACAGTCTCAACTGTATCTACTAAGTATAAAATAATAAGTAAAGCAGGTGAGGAACACACGTACAACACCAGGTCAAGTTTTAAAAGTTTTTATTGGCTACTAGTTTCGAGTAATACAATACTCTTCATCAGGCTTAAAAAATATAAAATTCTAACTACTGAAGTACTGTTATCTAGGGATACTTTTTTGTGTTTTGTTACTATAAATAGAAGTATTGTTGCTAATAATAGATATGGTTTTGGCACTGTTCCAACGAGCTTATCATTAAGTATATCATGTATATTGTTTAATAAAAAAGGAATCACAAGTTAATTATGCTTTGTTTAATACCCATAAATCTGTCCAATGTTTATTATGAGTTCGTTTGTTTCACTAAAACATACCATAACTCATCTTGGCAAACAGTTTCTGTACTCGATGATGGGGAGGGTTCATCAAATTTGTAGTTGGTGTTGTTGGTCTGCTGTGCTTTGGAGTAGGTGGTAACGGCGAGATTGGTGTAGGAATCAAGAAAGTATGTTGGTGGTGGTTCTACATTTTGATTTGGATGGTCTCTGTTTTTGTTGAATTTCAAGGATGGGGTCCCTGTCTTGCCCATAACAATTCGAAATTGTTGGAGTTTTCAATAAGAGTTTTTTTGTGGTAGTTTTGGTTGTTTTATAGCTGGAAAGGTGATTTTGGCTTTAGGTTTTTTCGTCTGGTACTTCTACTGTTTTGAAAAAACTTTCTCTGGAAATCCATGCTGTTTTGATGCTATGTTTCCTTAGGTATGACTTTTGCTTGAAAGTCTTTGAACATCATGAACATTCAAATCTTGTTGTATTATTTTCATGTGTCTTTATGTGTTTGTATCGCTTGTTTGTTTTGTTGTGCCTACATAGCCACATGTATTACACAGGTAGTGGTATTCTTTCTTATAGAGAAGTTTGGTTGCAAAGAATATTTCTTGTTCCAAATCTATTGGTTCAGGTTGAGGACCCTGTGGAGTCAGAGTTTTTTAAATCTTCGTATCCATACTCCTCTAGTCTAAGACGTTTGTTTATGTTACTGATTCACTTCCTTGGATGATGATGACGTTGACCGTCGTTTTATCGAATGTCCCCCGCGCTATTGAAAATGGCGGAAATTGGTTTTGTAGTATTTCTAGTTCTGACGTCGGCCATATGTCCGTAGAGTCGATCACGTAATGTGTTTCCTGTTTGTCCAACGTACTGTAGGCTACATTGTTTGCAAGTAATTAGATAAATAATACTAACAGTTGTGCAATTCAAATGGCTGTTTATGGAGTATTTTGTCTTTGTTACTGTACTAGAGAATTCTGTCGAGTTTGTCATGTATTTACAAACAAAGCATTTCTTATCTACTAAGCGTATCTACTAAGGTTTTATTCTCATCTTTAATTTTCCTTTAAAAAATAGTCTATTCCTTTGAGCAGTTTTACTTGAGAAAGAAAGTTTATTTTAAAAGTTTCAGTTTTATGGTTTGACATAATTGTATTTGGAACAGAAATTAGTATTTCCAAACGGTTGCCTACAAATGCAAAAGAAATGTTGATAAGGTCAGTTTTAATTAAAGTATTTTTTTTCTGAAAATTGTAGCAACAAAAAAAGTGATGGGAGATGTGCCAAACTTGCCAACAAGGAAAAAGTAAATATATTTATGGTTTTTATTTTAAGTTTTACATGCTTTTTTAATTTCATTAGCAAATTTTTTTTTAACTTTTCTGAATGTTTAAAGAAATTTAAGATTTTTACCTGTTCCAGGATTTTAAATACATAAAATCAAAATAAGGAAGGGAAACATTTTAGAGCCTGGCATTGTTTTTTTGATATGCTAGCTAGCTTCCTGCCCGTACCAAACTTGTAAACAAGTTTAAAATTGTAAATAAAATTTTAGGGATGGCAAAGAATACCAAATTCAATACTCGAGTACTCGGTCATTTTTCCGATCGAATACTCGGTTACTCGGATGATTTTTAATGATCTTTAAAGTTTTATCACACAATCAATATCAACACCGTCTGTATGCTACTTTCGTTTTCTATTTTAATTCATAGAATTCGTAACTTTAAATAGGACTGCAAGAAATATATAAATATAAACATAAGAAATGTCAATGACAGCATTTTTTATAAACCCTTAAATTTTCTCCCTAAAATACAGGATGAACTTGAAGCGCAAATGCAAATACGCTTCAATTAACGGATAGAAATTGACAAATAAGGAACCATATATGGAAGTGCCGGACTATTTTCGACATTGGTTCCGATCCTAGCTTTGTATAAACGTAGCATTTAAAACAGAAACCAAAATTATAAAAGGAGTGGCCGGTTTTGCAAAAATTACGTATTCATCCGTCGGTCATAAATTTACTTCTTGACAGCTACATTTCATTTTCTGAAATTTCTTATAGTGTAGTATAATGAAAATCATTTATAATTCAAACGAAAAGTTATATCATAAAAAGAAAATTATGTTGCAGAAGCTTTCTGAGCCTATGCATTTTTCTACTCACAATGTTGGAAAATTGATATTTAGCTTGACCTTCAGTCTTGCGAGATATCAATTTTTCCACCGCTGCTCGTAGCACAACATAATATTCCGTATATATTTACGTTTTTATAATTAACAAGTTTAGGCTACAAACTGTCTAATATTTAAAGGCGATTAAATATCATAAGAGGTCGAATGACGTAAATGACACAGGACTGTGTTCAATCCCATACGCGTGTCAAAACTGCTGATCGTCTCGTTAAATTTACGATATCATTTTCACACCTCTGCATGGATGTTTTGATTGCATTTAACAAGTATTTATATAGATACGTGAACATTTCCGAATTTCTGAACTAATCTTTCTAAATCGCAAAAAAGTAAAAGTTAAATATTTTTTCCGAGTAATCGATTATCAATTTTGTTAACCGATATTCGGACGTTAGATCGAGTACTCGGTTAACCGGTTACTCTTTGCCATCCCTACTAAATTCTAATAGTTATTGTACAATGTTATCAATTAAATTTGTCTTTTCTTCATAGGGATAATATATATAAAAAAAGTTATGAAATTTCATATACATGTTATGATATAAATGTATTTACTAGAACTTATGACACTTTATATTCTCATACACATTCTTTGTTTGATATGGTTTACTTATAACTTGTTATTTTATTATATCATTACTACAGATGTATGTCTAGAAAACCTCAGATGGGTTCAGCGAAAATTCCCTTGGTAAATCAGCTCACATTTCTAGGCCAGTCTTTTAGCAGACTGGTTGACATGGCACTAGGCTACTTAGTTCAGGTATGTTTATCTATACACAGGTAAAATTAGTTCAGGTATGTTTACATATACACAGGTAAACTTAGTTCAGGTATGTTTACATATACACAGGTAAACTTAGTTCAGGTATGTTTACATATACACAAGTAAACTTAGCTATCTTCTCATCAGCATCGTTTGTGCTGTGTGGAGGCAGAAAAAAAGTCACCAAGGACAGTCAGAGATGTTATATTTCTGGTCCTTGTAGATCGTTCAGCATTACATTGATTTTGACCTTTATATAGACTTTTTCTGCAAATTCATGCATATTTCAATAAACAAAATCAAAATTTTTGCTGGGATTTGTTTGCTTTTCATTATCTATGCCTTTAATGAACTATGCTGTTCATCCCATTTTCAGCCCTCGGCAAGCCTTTTTCAGTACATGTAGAATAAGAAAGTATTCCCAATGTAAAGTGTACACAATCTGGTTCTTATACTATCTATACAACCAAAATGCTCAAATATGTCCTTATAACATCTAATATGAAAGAAATATTCAACAAATTGCCATACAGTTTAAGAATATATGGCTTAATGTGACACAATAAGGCAAAAATACAACAGATTATGTTCTTGCCAGACACCAAAATGTGCTATGTTTTTTTATGCTCCCCGAAAAAATTTCAGGGGAGCATATAGTCGTCAAGTTGTCTGTCCGTCCGTCCATATGTACGTCCTAAATTCGTGTCCGGCCCATAACTTTGTTATTTGAAGTTGGATTTTAAAACTGTTTCACAGAAATGATCACCATACTGAGACGATGTGTGGCATACAACATTTGGGTAACTACCTTCAAGGTCAAGGTCACAGCATGACCTTGAAGCAAAATCGTGTCTGGTCCATAACTTCATTATTTGAAGTTGGATTTGAAAACTATTTCACAGAAATGATCACCATATTGAGATGAAGTGTTGCGCGCAACATTTGGGTCGCTACCTTCAAGGTCAAGCATGACCTTGCAGCAATATCGTGTCTGGCCCATAACTTCATTATTTGAAATTGGATTTGAAAACTATTTCACAGAAATGATCACCATATGGAGACGACGTGTCGCGCAAAACAATTGGGTCGCTACGTTGAAGGTCAAGGTCACAGCATGACCTTGCAGCAAAATCATGTCCGGCCCATAACTTCGTTATTTGAAGTCGGATTTTAAAACTATTTCACAGAAATGATCACCATATTGAGATGACGTGTCGTGCGCAACATTTGGGTAGCTACCTTGAAGGTCAAGGTCAGAGCATGACCTTGCAGCAAAATCATGTCTGGCCCATAACTTCGTTATTTGAAGTCAGATTTTAAAACTATTTCACAGAAATGATCACTATATTGAGATAATGTGTTGGATCGCTACCTTAAAGGTCAAGGTCACAGCATGACCTTGCAGCAAAATCGTGTCTGGCCCATAACTTCGTTACTTGAAGTCAGATTTAACAACTATTTCACAGAGATGATCACCATATTGAATCAACGGGTTGCATGCAACATTTAGGTCGCTACCTTGAAGGTCAAGGTCACAGGATGACCTTGCAACAAAATCATGTCTGGCCCATAACTTATTATTATTTGAAGTCGGATTTTACAAATGTTCATCATATTGAGACAATGTGTCGTGCACAACATTTTGGTTGTTTTTACACTTTGAACTTTGTCTGTGACATAACTCTGACAATAGAGGTATACCTTCCTGTGTCCAAAACCTATTTGGGGAGCATCACCCTGTTCATCCGGCTCTTGTTTCAATCCTGCACAGTATAATCCAATTAGCATGCATAATTTTCATATAGGTTTTATGTAAAGTCAAAATCTAAGAGACACAGCACTTATCAGGGCCCTCTAAGCATTGTAGATCTAGCAATGTTGGTCGCCTAGGCCATTGAAATTCACCAAGCGAAACCCCGAAAACCAAATTCTCCGACTATTCAATCTTGTATGCCCAACTCCAAAATGGTAAAAATCTAATTTGAAAACCTAGCTTTAACATCCATTTGCACCTGTAAGTGATTTCCAGCAAACATTTTCCTTCGTACAAATATTTCGCATCACATGGAACACGCCGGATGGCCATATTTTACAGGTACAGCTGAAATTCAATAAAAACATGCCTTTTTCCCCAAAAAAGTTAGGAAAATCAGGAAAATATCAACGAACAGCTCTATATGTGAATATTATTGCTCTTCACCATTATTTTTGTGTTTGTGCTACAATGTACTTTTATTTCTTTTATTTGACTTTTTTCTTGTTTAAATGTTGAAATTTGATTCAGCAAGTGCTTATAAGGTAGCCTGCACTTACCAGTACCTACCATGAACAGACTCAATCAAACCAAGCATGCAACCATTTTCAGTTTTGTCATTTTGAGTGATGTTTAGGGATTCTTTTTTTCTCTATTTTAAGTACAAGCATAAAAATTATTGTCAAAAGAGGGCCTGATAAATCTTGCAATATTTACAAAGAAAATTAGAATGATATTTAAAGTATAGAAATGTTTTGTTTTTTTTATTTCAGAAAATTGTAGAAACATTAGATGAGTCTCACACACCACTTGCCTTAACCAGCTGTATCAGTACAGTAATAAGTCTGGGACTTGAGGGTGAACACATGTGCTATATATTGTCCAGGGTAAGTATCAGTACAGTAATAACCCTTGGACTTGAGGGTGAAGACATGTGCTATATATTGTCCAGGGTAAGTATCAGTACAGTAATAAGTCTTGGACTTGAGGGTGAACACATGTGCTATATATTGTCCAGGGTAAGTATCAGTACAGTAATAACCCTTGGACTTGAGGGTGAAGACATGTGCTATATATTGTCCAGGGTAAGTATCAGTACAGTAATAAGTCTTGGACTTGAGGGTGAACACATGTGCTATATATTGTCCAGGGTAAGTATCGTACAGTAATAAGTCTGGGACTTGAGGGTGAACACATGTGCTATATTTTGTCCAGGGTAAGTATCAGTACAGTAATAAGTCTGGGTCTTGAGGGTGAACACATGTGCTATATTTTGTCCAGGGTAAGTATCAGTACAGTAATAAGTCTTGGACTTGAGTGTGAACACATGTGCTATATTTTGTCCAGGGTAAGTATCAGCACGGTAATAAGTCTTGGACTTGAGGGTGAACACATGTGCTATATATTGTCCAGGGTAAGTTTCAGTACAGTAATAAGTCTGGGACTTGAAGGTGAACACATGTGCTATATTTTGTCCAGGGTAAGTATCAGCAGGGTAATAAGTCTGGGACTTGAGGGTGAACACATGTGCTATATTTTGTCCAGGGTAAGTATCAGTACAGTAATAAGTCTGGGACTTGAGGGTGAACACATGTGCTATATTTTGTCCAGGGTAAGTATCAGTACAGTAATAAGTCTTGGACTTGAGTGTGAACACATGTGCTATATTTTGTCCAGGGTAAGTATTAGTACAGTAATAAGTCTGGGACTTGAGGGTGAACACATGTGCTATATTTTGTCCAGGGTAAGTATTAGTACAGTAATAAGTCTGGGACTTTAGGGTGAACACATGTGATATATATTGTCCAGGGTAAGAAGTCTCTTAAACATTCATATGTCTGGTTTCTTTGTTGTGTCACTCATACATAGTGAAGTTCATATTCCGCCTATTTAGCAGCATGGGTTATGGTGCTTTTTTGGGTAAATATGCAAATTCACTTTGCAAAAAAGGCATTTCATGTATAGAATACTTACTTGAATGAGTGTAATAAATTTTAGAAGAAATTGTGTTTAAAAATTTATGCTCATTACTTTTCTTTAACAATTAATTATACTTCTAATTTGTATGCAAGCAATTAATTTTGTACACTCACTTTTACAGGAGGGTTGTATAAGAGCATTGTTTGAAATTGCACGGACAGACACATTGGAATTTGCTCATGTGCAGTCATTGAGAGCACTTGCTACTATATGTTGTGTGGCCGAGTCAATACTAGAACTAGAGAAAGAAGGTGGTATTGATAGCCTGACAGATATTCTATGTGATAAGACAATCTCTGAGGCAGTACGAGGTGAGGCGGCAGGTGTGGTCGCACAGATCACCTCCCCTTGTTTAGATAACTTTCAACACATCTCAGGCTTCTTAGACAATGTTCAGGATCTTTTAAGTGCTTTGATAAGTAAGTTTTTTTTGTCTTTGATTCTTCTGATTCTTATATTTGACATTTTGTTTCTAATGGCATACCTGAGAGATCAGTGTGTTGTGATTTTTTAACATACATACATGTATATTTTTTTATTTTTTGTATAGTTAGACATGCTTTGATTATTTAAAATGATATTTAAAATACAGTCTTTACTTACATAATGTGTTAATTAAACAGAGTGACTTTTAGTTTATATTTTAATTAATTAATCAAAACCTTGATTGGCCATTCTCAATTGATTTTTGGTTACAGATCAGAATTAAGGCTTTTGTTGTGTGTGTGTATTGTAACAATATGGTATCATGTATATTATTACACAAAAAACTTGAATTTGAAAAATAAATGTATAGACCATTTGTTTTAGACAAATTATGCTTTATTTTACATATAGACTTGTGCTTTACAACAATGTCCCATGAAACATTTCTTCTGGCGGCAGCAGCGGTAGCTAACATAACATTTATGGACAGTCAGGCATGTGACGTGTTACAGCAGTTAGAGGCACCGCGGTTACTTATACAGGCATCAGCTATGCCAAAAGCTAAATCTTTGTTTGTCAAAGATCAGGTACATGTAGCTCATTTACTCAGGCATTTATATACTCTCTGACATGGATTTTGACAGAATTTTGGCCCTTTTTGAACCTAGAAAATTCTACATTTTTTTGAAAAGTTACACTGTCCTTCCAACAGCTCTCATTTTATTGTTGAGTTGAGCTGAATTAGCTATATATTTGAAAACATTTACTTTTATAATGGACATTGACCAATAATTGATAATGAAAAATGTTTATGATAAATTATAGCAACTGCATAAAGTATAAAAAGTCTGCCCAACATTTAAGCTCGACTATTTGATAAGAATAAGTAGAGCTATTGTAGTCACCCGAGCGTCGGTTTCGGCTTAACCACTTATGTTGAAGTTTTTGTAATACCTCAAATGTATTCAAAGTCCATTGACCTATGGCTTTGAAACTTTGCACACTTGTTCACCATCATGACCCCAACCTGTAGACAGGAGGGGGTAATTGTATCAAGCATTTTGACAGAATTATGCACCTTTTTTGACTTGGAATTTTTGTTAAAGTTTTTGTAACACCTGAAATATTTTCAAAGTCCATTGACCTATGGCTTTGAAACTTTGCACACTAGTTCACCATCTTGACCTCAACCTGTAGACAGGAGGAGGTAACTCTATGAAGCATTTGGCAGAATAATGCCCCTTTTTCAACTTAGAATTTACATTTAAGTTTGCATACCACCTCAGATATTTTCATATTCTATTGACATCTGGCTTTGAAACAAGTTGAAATTTTATACTCTTCTTTGAGAGCATAATAGGACTCTCTCCAAGGCCTATAACTGTAACATGGATTTAAAGAAAAATTTTGCCCTTTTGTTAACTTAGAAAATTTTACATTATCAAGGCTCTTTTACTATCAAGCACTAAGAATAGTCGAGCGTTGCTGTCCTACGACAGCTCTTGTTTATCAAAGGAAATATATAGAAATTTCTTAGAGTCACATGGGTTATTGATTATACACATGAACTAGACTAAGAAACTGAAAACAATTATGGCAAAATCTAAAGTTCTTTGACTTTGACTTCTTGACACACCATTTACACTTAGATGGGCATAATGTCACACTAATTATTTTGATGCTTCCACTGATTCTGAAATTTTGCAATTTAAGAAATAATATGGAATGTATTCACACTAATGGAAAAGAGAGTTTTGAGTTGATATTTAGTTTGATGTAAATGTGGTAATGATATAAAAATCTTAACATTGCAGATAGCAACAGTATTAGCTAACATGGCAACTAAAGGATCATCACGCAGGGATATTATAACATACAACGGTATACCGTTACTCATCAACTTTCTCCAGCAACGACCCTCGCAGTATAAACAAGATGCCGAGATAGCTGCATGTGAGAGACTACAACAAAAAGCAGCTATTGCTCTTACTCGATTATGTAAAGATCCAGCCACAGCAAATGTAATTGTTGACTTACAAGGTACAGATATTTTGGCATTCACAATTATTTTTGCAATTTTGCCTTCTTTAGGAAAAGTTCCTTTTTATCATGACTATTCAAAGAATATGCAGAGTTTTTGTAATCACCCCAGCTTCGGTGTAACAATTTGGTTAAGTTTTTGTGTACAAGTTGGTATCTTCTTAACTGCTGAAAGGAATTGAAATTTGACGTACTTGTTATCTGTGATTTCTAATTTGATGGGCACAGGTCAACAGGTCCCATAACTCTGAGTTACCATTTGTACTGACTTACGCCCTGTTTCTTACTGTCAAGCACTGAATATAGTGAAAATTACTGTCATATAGGGCTCCTGTTCTACTGTGGACTTTATAACAATTTTCAGTATGAAAGTACTCTAAAATATTCCCTGTTTAGACATATTAGAGATGATAATTAAGTTAGAAGGATATTAATTAAAAAAATCAGCAAAAATTCTTAAGATTGGAAAGAGCTGACTTTGCTAAAGGTTGTATCAAGCAACAGTTCAACCTTTTATGTCAATTTTGTAGTTATTTATAAAAAAAAAGAAAACTTTAATAAATCTCAAAAATATCTAATGAGTGTTTAATGTTAGACTGTAGGTCAGACTAGTCCTGAGAGTTTATTTTAAAGTTCACATTTATAACATGTTTGTTTTTAAAATAATTCAATAATTTGAAACTTTAACTAACCTTCTTTTATAGGAACTCCACGAAGGTCCAAAAGCCAAAAAAAAAAAAAAAAAAAAAAATGAAAAAAATGAAAATGTTATAAAGATGAACTGGGAGACTTAAAACAGAAAAATATAATAAACAAATATACTCAGAATTAAATTGAAAATGGACGTTTTTGTGTGATTCTTAGTTTGAGTTTAAAGGGTTTAAATTCTTATCATTTTTGGTCTTTTACTTCGTTTTTGGAACAATAATTTTTATAGGGTAAAAAACCCTATAAAAATTATTGTTCCAAAAACGAAGTAAGCAAATGATTTGAAAGTTTGCACACAAATTATTTGTATAGATCTACATCAAATGGTATACAGTCTTGATAAAATATCCTGTTATGTCAAAAATACCTTAGTAGGGTCACTTTAAAATAATTTGTACATGCTTTAGGATATACAGTGGAGCCTTGCTAATCCAAACCCTTCTATCTTATCTGATCGAAATGTCCGGTCCAGATTTTATTTGTTCTTTTTATAATAGTAAAAAACCTCTCAGAACATGACCTGTCTACTCAGAATTCCGGATGATTTTTTTTCAAATTTTGTTTTTATTTTAAAATTAACCTCTTGGATTCGAACAGATTTTGCCAAATGTCACAACTTCTTTAAAATAACAAATAATCGCACATCTTGCAGGTGTAAACATACACCAAACTGATGTGTTATTTCACTTGATTAATGGGTGAAACGTATGATCTGCGAAGGTGTGAAAATTACACTTAGCTTGCCTTCATATCTTCTGTAATTGCTTAATTGATTGTTTTTCGTCACCTTCAATAAATATTTTGATATAATGCAATAAAAATATCTTTTAATCCTTTGAAATGGATTCAATGATACGTGATTAAGCAATGAAAATTAATAGAGACTGTCAGTGAATTCGGATAATCGCTGAATCAGATAAGAGTAAACAACAATTGACAAATGCTGGTACGAATATTTAATCATGTCTCCGTCTCCTGTTTTACATCGTAGGTTAACTTACCCTTGAGGACATAATATTTTTTTGCTTATTTATTTATTTTCATTTCTTTATTTTTGTATGCTCATGTATTAGAATGAACGATGAGAGACTGCAAAAATAAAATATCTAAATGCAATTTCAAATGCATTCCCGTTTTCTTTCCCTAAACTATTTTGCAAATACATGCAACATGAAAAAACATGTAAAAGAACCTTCTAATTCGGAAACCTTTCTAATCCGGAAACCTTTCTAATCCGAACTTTTCTTCTGGTCCGGACAAGTTCGGATTAGACAGGTTCCACTGTATATGCAATAATCAAAAACAATAATTCATGTAAGTAAATATTAAAGCATACATTGTGTCCTCTACATTGACCAAAATACAGATAAATGATCTTTCCTCTTCTTGAAGGTGTTCCAAGATTAGTTCAGTTATGCCGAAGTGTTGAAGAAAGGAACAACAGTGATGCAGTACTTGTGGCTAGCTTGGTAAGGTTTTTTACTTAACACTATGTTAACAAATATTAAAACCTGGCCCTCACTGCTGTGGGGTTTGAATCTCATTATGCTTTTATGCAAGGAAATTATCCATCTAACCTACATAAACATGGTTGCTAAAAAGGTTAGTGGTTCTAACTTTGCAACCCAACATGGTTGCTAAAAAGGTTAGTGGTTCTAACTTTTGCAACCCAACATGGTTGCTTAAGGAAGGTAAGTGGTTCTAACTTTTGCAACCCAACATGGTTGCTTAAGGAAGGTAAGTGGTTCTAACTTTTGCAACCCAACATGGTTGCTTAAGGAAGGTAAGTGGTTCTTACTTTTGCAACCCAACATGGTTGCTTAAGGAAGGTAAGTGGTTCTAACTTTTGCAACCCAACATGGTTGCTTAAGGAAGGTAAGTGGTTCTAACTTTTGCAACCAAACATGGGTTGCTTAAGGAAGGTAAGTGGTTCTAACTTTTGCAACCCAACATGGTTGCTTAAGGAAGGTAAGTGGTTCTAACTTTTGCAACCCAACATGGTTGCTTAAGGAAGGTAAGTGGTTCTAACTTTTGCAACCCAACATGGTTGCTTAAGGAAGGTAAGTGGTTCTAACTTTTGCAACCCAACATGGTTGCTTAAGGAAGGTAAGTATTTCTAATGATGTGTCAGCTATGTTTGAAATAATATATGGAGGAACCCCAGTCCGAAAGCTTATATGTTGCAATCTAACCATTACAGTGTTGATGTGACTGAAAGAGCTGAACCAAAAAGTTGTAAAGCATGATACTTTTAAATGAGATATTTCAGTGATATATTTAAATGTTTGTAGGCTGCCTTACGGAAGATCTGTGCATTATGTCCCTGTCCAGAGATGACCACTGTAGACTATCATCAACTTATCAAACCCAAGTTAATGGACTCCTTTGTCATGTGCTCACGTACAGATGAAAACTTTGTCTGACCAAAATGATATTACAGTGTGTGTTGAAGAATCACACAAAATGATTGGTACTTCTGAAATGTTCTCCACTTCTGTAAATATCAAAGAAAGTAATGGAATCTCCCAACATGTGCTCTGTGATTCAGAAAAAAGAGCTAAATTTATTATTAGAATCTTTTCTTTTGTTTTTGCATGAAACAAAAAAAATATTCAAGCATCTTAACTAGCATGTTAATTCACATAGATTGTACATTGGAAGAAATCTTATCTCTTCAAAGTTGAATTTGACTTTTATCAAAGTGAGGATTTTTTATGTTTGATTTAGTATTTTCAAATCAGTATTTATGTACAAATCAAGTTGATTGTATATCAGAATTTTATGATAAATTTTTAAAGCAGCATGCCTCCAGATTCATGATAATTTTTATGAAAGTTTTGTAAATATATTAATATATTAATTTTATATGTAAAATATTGAAATAAATATGTTTAAACTAAATATATTAACAGTAAAGTATTGTGATGTGAACAAAAAAAAATCTGTACATTGCAAACAGCATCTTCAAACCACATGATTTACCAACAAGATGTCAAAATATTCAAAAATAGCCCTTACTGCATAAGTAATGCAGTAGAAATATGGGGATAAATACTGCAAAGTCAGACATTAATGGCACATAACATGTAAATTATTACTTAAATATTGAATCTTATTTCTTAAAATATTAGTACATTTTTCTCAAGTTTGATTTTCTTGAAGTATATGTCTCATCTGGAGGCATGCAGCTTTAAAGTACAAAGCTGTAACCATCTTGATATAGTGCAGACTTGCATATGTAGCGAATTATTGATGATATTTATAGATATTAAAGGTTTTTTGACAGGTTAAATGACCTGATATGAACACAGTAAATATAGCCACTAGTTTATATTTATTTAGCAGACGACTGTTTATATGCGGTCATATAACCTGTCAAAATTCTTTATATCAAATTTATAACACTGCAAAATGTAATTCCTACCATCAAAATAAAAAAATATTAAAATTTTAAAAAATATGTAAATTTGCATCAGCCATTTCTATAAATAATGTAATGAAAGTTGATGTTACAAACATACAGTGTAACAAAATAACTGCTGTTTGTTTGTAATTGATAATGACATATAAATTTCTTTAAAAAGTGATCCCTCAGAAGCATGGTAAACAGCAAAAATAACATGAAACTTGCAGACTCAGTTTGATTGAGTCTGTACATGAGGGATTATGAAAAAGTACAACATCCACACGCCCCCTTGCTTAAATGTCACAAAAAAGTTACGAATTTCATGTATTAACATACAAATTTTTTCCTTTCAAAGTAAGTGATATACCATTTTCATGAAAAAAAATGCAATAGGAGATTTCACAGTGATTGGTACAATTATTAGTGATACTGTTTATATTTCACTGTTCTATACAAAAATACAGCCCCTATTGTGAAGTGATGTATAAGCTTTATAAAAACAAAGGATCTCAGATTTAAACCTGATGTCATCTTGCCATTCCATTGAGATTCATACATTCCACTGCATATTCTCATACCTATTTACATGTACATTGTTACATCTAAATCTTAATAAATATATGAGCCGCGTCATGACAAAACCAACATAGTGCATTTGCGACCAGCATGGATCCAGACCAGCCTGCGCATCCGCGCAGTCTGATCAGGATCCATGCTGTTGGCTATCAGTTTCTTTACTTGTAAAAGGGTTGGTAAGCAAACAGCATGGATCCTGATCAGACTGCGCAGATGCGCAGGCTGGTGTGGGTCCATGCTGGTCGCGAATCCATTATGTTGGTTTTGTCATGACATGGCTCAATATATCTTATTTTTGAATACCTATTACTGTTCACACTTTTGACAAATTCAGTTGAAGGTTAAACCATTTATAATACATGTATATAATAAATGCAGATCTGAATAGATGCTGATTTCTTACATAGACTGAAATAATAGCATGTAATAAATTATTTATAAAATTATGATTACTTTTTGTAAGACTTTTAAAATCTACTTACCAGAAAAGATATTGTATCTCAGGAAATTATAAAACAGCATTTTGAGGGCATTGCAATAATAAGCAATGTAAAAGAATGAAAAACATTTAACAATTTTATATTTGATCCTTACTATTTTATTGGACATTATTATGGTATATTCTTTACATGTCAAAGAATTGGTTTTATTGCTGTTTTATATTTCATTCATTCTATTTTTCACTTTATCATGCTATTGTACTTGTTTACAAAATATTCTAGAATTACTTTTTTGAAAAGTGAAAAATGTACCACTATCAAAAAGCTGCTCTTCTGTGCTTTTGATGTGAAGAAAAACAGAGAAATATATATACATGTCATTTATAAAAACAAAATTTATTAGTTTTAAGTTTTATTTATTGTTTTAATTATTTATATATTTAGATATTTTTTTTTAAATAAATGCATGTTTTTTCCACAATACAAATGTAGCAAAAAAAATAGAAGTTTAACATGTTGAATACAGTGTCATAACAGTTCCACCATCTTTTTTGTTCTGTTCATATGTACATGTATGTCTTCTAAATTGGCAATATATATAATACATGTAATATGAAGGTTGTTTATTTTGTTGAAGTGTTTTGATGTTCATATGTTTATTTCAAATATTTTGTATAGATTTTAACTGACTTTTACTTTACATTCCATCTTGTTTTTATTTATGTTTTGCTGTTCATTTATTATATGAATTTTATATACATACATTTCTCACTCATACAAGTTTTCATTCTCACAATTTTAACAAAATTTTGAAAAATTCCTAAATCTGTTTTCCATTTCTTGTGTTGTTGCTAAATTTAAACTTGTTGATGATTTGCAATTTTTTTCGGTGTTTTTTTTTTTACCTTCTATTTTATGGCTGAAATTCTAAAATAAAACAAGTGATGTCAGATAATTAGAGGTGTTTAACAAAATAGGAACCCTGACTTATAAACAGTCAGTCTTAAAATACAAAATAGGAACCCTGACTTATAAACAGTCAGTCTTATAATACAAAATAGGAACCCTGACTTATAAACAGTCAGTCTTAAAATACAAAATAGGAACCCTGACTTATAAACAGTCAGTCTTAAAATACAAAATAGGGACCCTGACTTATAAACAGTCAGTCTTATAATACAAAATAGGGACCCTGACTTATAAACAGTCAGTCTTATAATACAAAATAGGGACCCTGACTTATAAACAGTCAGTCTTATAATACAAAATAGGGACCCTGACTTATAAACAGCAAGTCTTATAATACAAAATAGGAACCCTGACTTATAAACAGTCAGTCTTATAATACAAAATGGGGACCCTGACTTATAAACTGTCAGTCTTATAATACAAAATAGGAACCCTGACTTATAAACAGTCAGTCTTAAAATACATAATAGGGACCCGACTTATAAACAGTCAGTCTTAAAATACAAAATAGGGACCCGACTTATAAACAGTCAGTCTTATAATACAAAATAGGAACCCTGACTTATAAACAGTCAGTCTTATAATACAAAATAGGGACCCTGACTTATAAACAGCCAGTCTTATAATACAAAATAGGAACCCTGACTTATAAACAGTCAGTCTTATAATACAAAATAGGGACCCTGACTTATAAACAGTCAGTCTTAAAATACAAAATAGGAACCCTGACTTATAAACAGTCAGTCTTTAAAATACAAAATAGGGACCCTGACTTATAAACAGTCAGTCTTATAATACAAAATGGGAACCCTGACTTATAAACAGTCAGTCTTAAAATACAAAATGGGAACCCTGACTTATAAACAGTCAGTCTTATAATACAAAATAGGGACCCTGACTTATAAACAGCAAGTCTTATAATACAAAATAGGAACCCTGACTTATAAACAGTCAGTCTTATAATACAAAATGGGGACCCTGACTTATAAACTGTCAGTCTTATAATACAAAATAGGAACCCTGACTTATAAACAGTCAGTCTTATAATACAAAATGGGGACCCTGACTTATAAACTGTCAGTCTTATAATACAAAATAGGAACCCTGACTTATAAACAGTCAGTCTTAAAATACATAATAGGGACCCGACTTATAAACAGTCAGTCTTAAAATACAAAATAGGGACCCGACTTATAAACAGTCAGTCTTATAATACAAAATAGGAACCCTGACTTATAAACAGTCAGTCTTATAATACAAAATAGGGACCCTGACTTATAAACAGCCAGTCTTATAATACAAAATAGGAACCCTGACTTATAAACAGTCAGTCTTATAATACAAAATAGGGACCCTGACTTATAAACAGTCAGTCTTAAAATACAAAATAGGAACCCTGACTTATAAACAGTCAGTCTTAAAATACAAAATAGGGACCCTGACTTATAAACAGTCAGTCTTATAATACAAAATGGGAACCCTGACTTATAAACAGTCAGTCTTAAAATACAAAATGGGAACCCTGACTTATAAACAGTCAGTCTTATAATACAAAATAGGAACCCTGACTTATAAACAGTCAGTCTTATAATACAAAATGGGGACCCTGACTTATAAACAGTCAGTCTTATAATACAAAATAGGGACCCTGACTTATAAACAGTCAGTCTTATAATACAAAATAGGGACCCTGACTTATAAACAGTCAGTCTTATAATACAAAATAGGAACCCTGACTTATAAACAGTCAGTCTTATAATACAAAATAGGGACCCTGACTTATAAACAGCAAGTCTTATAATACAAAATAGGAACCCTGACTTATAAACAGTCAGTCTTATAATACAAAATGGGGACCCTGACTTATAAACTGTCAGTCTTATAATACAAAATAGGAACCCTGACTTATAAACAGTCAGTCTTATAATACAAAATGGGGACCCTGACTTATAAACTGTCAGTCTTATAATACAAAATAGGAACCCTGACTTATAAACAGTCAGTCTTAAAATACATAATAGGGACCCGACTTATAAACAGTCAGTCTTAAAATACAAAATAGGGACCCGACTTATAAACAGTCAGTCTTATAATACAAAATAGGGACCCCGACATAAAAAAAGTCAATGTTATAATACAAAATAGGAACCCCGACTTATAAACAGTCAGTCTTATAATACAAAATAGGACCCTTACTTACAGTCTGTCTAATAGGAAAGTATATGCTTTAAAGCTGATATCATTATTTGTTGTATTTTAGGTTATAAATAAAATTGGGAGTTTATTTTAGTGCTTATTAGGAACAGTATTTGAGTAGCTAAGATCAAAGATAATTAGATTATTTATTTTGTGTGTTTTACTTCAGTTTAGAATGTATTATTGTGTGATTTATATAATGGGATAGGGATTTTATTGTCTCCTTAATTTTTCACTGTGATAATGTATATGTTTTATATGAC